GGGCACGGTGGCTCACGCCTGTAATCCTAGCACTCTGGGAGGCGAGAGGGCGGATTGCTCGAGGTCAGGAGTTCTAACCAGCCTGAGCAAGAGGAGACCCGTCTCTACTATAAATGAAGAAAATTAATTGGCCAACTAATATATATAGAAAAATTAGCAAGTTTGGGGTTGCAGTGAGCTATGATGACACCACTGTACTCTATCTGGGGCAAACAGAGTGAGACTCTGTCTCAAAACCAAAAAACCTGGTCAATTTTATGTTATGTAGATCCTACAATATAAATAATAATAAAGGGAAACTCCAGAAGACAGCAAATCTTAGGTCACACACACTATAGATAAAACATTATTTGTCTTTCCTAAACTATCAAACACAACATATAAAACTGCACAATATAGTGAATGAAAATTAATAAACTCCATAAAATTTCCCTAACCTTCCAAAAAAAGGTGAATTTGGTGGTACTGAAAATTGCAGAAGTGGCTGGGCATGGTGGTTCATGCATGTAATCCTAGCACTTTGGGAGGCCAAGGTAGAAGGGTTGCTTGAGGCCAGGAGTTTGAGACCCGCTTGGGCGAGAGAGAGACCCCATCTCCACAAAAAAATAAGACAAGTTAGCTGGGCATGGTGATGCACACCTGTAGTCCCAGATACTTCTGAGGCTGAGGCTGGAGGATCGCTTGAACCCAGGAGTTTGAGGTTGCAGTGAGCTATGATGATGCAGTGAGCTATGATGATGCACTGTACTCTATCTAGCCCAGGTGACAGAGCAAGACCCTGACTTGATTAAACAAAACAAAACAAAGAACCAGCTCTGGCTGTTGTGTGGAGAATGGACTGGAAGAAGACAACAAAGAAAGCCAGAGCCTAGTTAGGACATGATGCCAAAGTATGAGATGATAGCTGGACTGATGTGGTGACTGAGGAAACAGCAAAGTTAACAAATTTGTGTTCTAGAGACAGAATCAATGTTCTCACACAAATTAGAGGATAACAAAGGGAAAAAAAAGCAAGATGACTTGACTATGTTAGAGTGATTTACCAAGATGGGAAAGACTGGCAAGAACCAGGACTCAGAGGAAAACAGAAACCAAAACCACCAAGAGAAGCTGGACTTAGTTTATTTCTTTATAAGGGATGAGGCCTTGAGGTATCAAGGCTATGATTTCCTCTGAGGCTGTTTACCATTGCCATCTCCTGATGCAAACTAAGGACAAACACTTTGGGGGTAATTTCTCTAAGTCTTTAAAAGCAGACTCAAAACATTAATGCAAGGCTGGGCATGGTGGCTCATGCCTGTAACCCTAGCACTCTGGGAGGCCGAGGCGGCCGGGTTGCTTGAGGTCAGGAGTTCGCAACCAGCCTGAGCAAGAACGAGACCCCGTCTCTACTATAAATAGAAAGAAATTAATTGACCAACTAATATATATAGAAAAAATTAGTCGGGCATGGTGGCGCATGCCTGTAGTCCCAGCTACTCGGGAGGCTAAGGCAGTAGGATTGCTGAACCCAGGAGTTTGAGGTTGCTGTGAGCTAGGCTGATGCCACGGCACTCACCCTAGCCTGGGCAACAAAGCAAGACTCTGTCTAAAAAAACAAAACATAACAAAACATTAATGCAACCAGGAGCGGGAGGAGAGGGAAAACCATTAAAAAACAAAATAACCCAACTAGCCTAAAAATGCCTAAAATAATCTTGACAGACTAAACAGTATATTACCAGATGAAGCTGTAGAAATGGTAAACATAAGGTCAAAGACAATCTCATTTACATATTTAGGTGGTATCATCTCCAACCTCACCTACCACATATATATTTGTGGAAAGAAACTATTTTCCTCCAATATTTCCATCCTCAGTTACTAGTACCATTACACTCAGTCACCTAAACTAGAAATACTACTAGTATCTTTGATTCTACATCCTACCCTTATCCACTCCCACATCCATTCACTTAACAGAATCTGTTGCTTTGCATCTAAGTCAGAGAATCACTTTTCAAACTACACATGACTAGAATTCCACACCCAAGGAAGATTCAGAGTTAGTATTTTGGGTTGAGACCTGGTAAAAACTTTTAATGAGTGCCCCCAGATGATTCTGATGTGCATCCCTGCTTAAGAATCGTTATTCATAACCTCAAAATCTTTCCTGGATTATCCTTAATGCCACTGCTCATTAATTCTTGCCTAGACTATTAAAATAGCCTTCCTACCTCCAGCCTTCCCCACTCTGACATGTATTTTCCACATCACCACCAGAATTCCCTAACTCAAGTATTTTGCTATTTAAAAAAAAGTGACAGTTCAGCTCCTGGCTGGCTCAATCCTCTTAAAAAAAAGGAAAAAAGTGACAATTGGTAAATTCTAAATCATGTCTTTATACTATTAATTTCTTGATTTTGATAATTACACTGGGGTTATATAAGAGTATGTCCTTGACTTTATAAAATAAACACTGAAGTATTTAGAAGTGGCATCATTTCTGCAACATACTCTCCAACAGTTCAGACTAAAACATGCATACATAGACATAGTATGAAGGAGAATGATAATATACACGGGATGGAATGTTAACATTTGGAGAATCTGGTTGAAGGCTATATGGGAATATAGTGTGAAATTATGTCAAAATAAAGAGATTTAAAAATCTACGCCAGATGTGGCAGGTTCATGCCTACAATCATAGCACTCTGGGAGGCCGAGGCAGGAGGATTACTTGAGGCCAGGAGTTTGAGACCAGCCTGGGCAATAGCAAGGCCTTATCTCTACAAAACATTAAAAAAATTAGCCCAGTGTGGTGGCATGCACCTGTAGTGCCAGCTACCAGGGAGTATGAGGCTGCAGAGCACTATGATGATGTCACTGAACTCTAGCCCAGACAACAAAGTGAGATCCTATCCTGAAAAACAAAACAAAAACAAACCACACACACACACACACACAAACCAAAGCAAAACTCCCATAGCCAGAACATTTCATTCTGAGTTGTACTTTTGTTAACACTATTCTTTTTTTTTTTTGAGACAAAGTCTCACTCAGTCACCCCAGCTTGAGTGCAGTGGAGTCATTATGAATCACTGTGATCTCAAACTCCTGGACTCAAACAATCCTCCTGCCTCAGCCTCCCAGGTAGCTGGGACTACAGGCACACAACACTGTACCCAGCTAATTTTTCTTTTTCTTCTTCTTTTTTTTAATACAGACAGGGTCTTACTCTTGCTCAGGCTGATCTTGAACTCCTTACTTCAAGCAATCCTCCCACCTCAGCCTCCCAGAGTGCTAGGATTACAGGTGTGAGCCATCAACCCCAGTTAACTTTCTTTTACCTTAAATTTGAATATTCAGTAAGCTAGCTTCGCACGACAACACCACACACAGCAGCCCCAAATAATCGCCTTACTAGCATATATGCAATACTATCCTTTTTCTCTGGAAGAAAAAAATTTATGGATGAGAGAATACGACAAGGCAATTTCTTTTCAGAGGCCAAAGCTATAGAGGAGAGGCTATCAGATGCAGCTCTCTGAATTCTTTTTATTCAAATGAGTAAGACAATAAAGACTAAGCATAACTCCCCCAAGACAGTGAAACATTACTATGAGAAAATTTACAAAAAGAAACAGGGTATTCTAAACTCAGAAGGGCATGAAAAGCCATCATAATCTGAATAATTCTATATAATGAATCTCTGTAAGTGAAACAGCCAAAACCAAAACACCATCCAGACTGTTCTGGTTGGTCTCAGGGGTGCTCCAATTCTGGGCTATCAGAAACACAGCAGTGATCTAAAGCAGTGAGATGTTGACCCCTTGGAGGTCTGTGGAGAGCTCAAGACTTGCAGTGGATTCACAGACTCCTTGAAGCTGATCCCTGGAGTCCAGGTAAGGACGAGAGGCTCAGAGTCTCACTCTGTTGCCCAGAGGGCAAGGGTACTATGGCGTCAGCCTAGCTCACAGCAACCTCAAACTCCTGGGCTCAACACATCTCTGCCTCAGCTCCAAGTAGCTGAGACTACAAGCATGCGCGGCCATACCTGGCTAATTTTTTCTATATATTTTTAGTTGACCAATTAATTTCTTTCTATTTATAGTAGAGACGGGGTCTCGCTCTTGCTCAGGCTGGTTTTGAACTCCTGACCTTGACAATCGGCCCGCCTCGGCCTCCCAGAGTGCTAGGATTACAGGCATGAGCCACCATGCCCAGCCTGTATAAGTATTTTTAAGCACAGCTTTTACAGTCATGAAATGACCCTTAACCATCAACTCAATTTGATAATTACAAATATGACTTAACATTTGTGCCAAGTACCAAAATAGAAAACACTGTGTAGCCATTAACCAGTATTCTAACAAATTGCTTACAACTGTCAGACAGACATTAAGTTTTATCTCTCTAGCACTAGTGTTCTACAATGTATCTAAACTAGTAAGTAGAAGAATTCAGAACACATGTTTAAAAACAACAAAAAACCTTATCAACAATATGAAAGGAGATACTGAAATACTTCAAAATTTTACCAAAAATAAGATCTGTATGAATGGCACTAAAATGTGTTAATATAATTGATACATGAAGACAATCATTTTAAATATAAGCCTTGAGAAAAGAACTGCATTCAGAAATACAATCTAAAATACAAGAGAAATGACAAACTCAACTCACCAGCAATTTCTACAATATCGCCAGGAACTATGTCTTTAGCTTTAATCCGCTGTACACTCTTTCTGTCCTGTCGATATACTTTGCCCATTTCAGGCTCATACTCCTTAAGGGCTTCAATTGCATTTTCAGCATTTCTTTCCTGTATAAAAGATAACAGAATAGTAAACACCTGCCTGCCATTGTTAAGTATTTCTAGCTCAAGGAATAAAATGTTAGGAGTTCTAATATTAAAAAAAAAAAAAATAGAGAGATAGCGAGCAGCACACTAATAACATCTGTATTAAACTACTCACATTTTAAGGCAATAAACACTTTACAAGGGCACTCAAAATTCTGTATTAAAAAACGAAAAGATAAGCACCCCTAAGAAAAGTAAGGGGGGAAAAACCATAATGAGGAAAAGCTGGGTTACAGAATCTGCCATCCTGACCAGGCATGGTGGCTCATGCCTGTAGTCCTAGCACTCTGGGAGGCTGAGACGGGAGGATTGCTTGAGCTCAAGAGTTCCAGACCAGCCTGACCCAAGAGTAAGACCCCATCTCTACTAAAAATAGAAAAATTCAGCAAGAGCAAGACCCCATCTCTTGGCCAACTAAAAATATATAGAAAAAATTAGCTGGGCATGGTGGCACATGCTTGTAGTCCCAGGTACTCGGGAGGCTGAGGCAGGAGGATTGCTTGAGCCCAGGAGTTGGGAGTTGCTGTGAGCTAGGCTGATGCCATGGCACTCTAGCCAGGGAAACAAAGTGAGACTCTGCCTCAAAAAAAATTAAGAATAACAGGCACATTCTATTTTAGTCCTCAAAGGGGTGACTATATCCATCAAAAACCTAAAAGATCAGTACTTCAAATTCATTCCAGTGTCAGAGTCCCTTAAAATCAAACCAAAAAAACCTCAAACAGATCAACAATCCTAAAAAAAAATTAAAAGTCCTCAGCTAGATATGTGCAGAAACAGCAGTCCTCGACGTTTTTGGCACCAGGGACCAGTTTCATGGAAGGCAATTTTTCCAACAGGGGTGGTGACTGCAGCAGCAGAACAATTATGTGAATGGGGATGCCCTTATGTTTCTGTAGTAAAACTAGTTTCACTCTGTAAGAAAAGCCTGGGCAATTGAGGGAACACAGCCAGGAGTAAGCACTACAGGGAAAACAATTTAGGGCTTAAACAGTTTTTATAGCTAATCCCACAAAAAAAATCCAAGGAGAACAAACATGAAATTGAGTTTATAAAGTCAAAGGAAGCAACTAGGAAATATAAAGACAATATATACTGGTTCCACATTTTTTGGTTTCCTTAAGTAGTTTCTCTCATCTATTTTAACTCCTTGCCATGAAGGCTGTGCAATTTAACAGCAAAGTTTACATGTGTGAGGTCTAAAATTCTGCAATAAATAAATGGACAAAAGAAAAAATGCATGTAGACTTTCCACATATTTCCTCTCAGTATATCAGGAAATAAAACAGAAAGACTAAAGCAATTCAAATCACTTACATAAGTTACTAAAATTTAGTGCTCCAAGAATTTCTGCTTACCTGCCATACACCCACAATTGCATTGGCTACTAATATAAGTAAAATTACAAAAGGTTCTACAAAGGCTGTAATTGTTTCTTCACCTTCTTCAAACCAAGCCAAAACCTAGAAGAAAAATGGCATGTATTAGAATTACTGTGTTTTCAGGCTTAGTGCCACTTGATAACAAAAGTGGCCAGCGCTATTAGGAATTATAACAGCAATTATAATATTTTGTTATCTTCTCTAGAAAAATGGCAGCAAAATATAATGACACAAAAAGCTTATGTTCTGTTTGTAATTCTTGATAGTCAAAACTATACTTCTTAATAATACCCTTAAGAGTTAATTTTTTGATATAATAATTCAATTTTAGAATTCAAATAAAATACTTTTGGGGAAACTAAATCCCACTCATTTTATATGTATATATTGAGAAAAAGTAAAATTTTAATTCCTGATTTTATTAAAGTAAAAAGTGATTATCAAAGCTATGTTGATTTTAGGCCAGGCGCGGTGGCTCACACCTGTAATCCTAGCTCTCTGGGAGGCCGAGGCGGGTGGATCGCTCAAGGTCAGGAGTTCAAAACCAGCCTGAGCAAAAGAGAGACCCTGTCTCTACTAAAAATAGAAAGAAATTAATTGGCCAACTAAAATAAATAAAATTAAAAAAAAGAAAGATGTTAAGGCAATGCCCAACATGAATCTTGCAAGATGGTAACAATGAATTAATAAGAACTATCAATTTGAAAGGGAGAAGAGGAGAAAACAAAAAAACCCAGGAGACCACAGGACCAGGTCCTGACAGATGTCAATCACTACTGACATCTGGTGAACTAGAGTTAAGTAGAAAACCACAATGAATATGATAAATGCTGCTGCAAGCTTTCAACAGGGCATTCTTAGTGTTAAGGCCAGGCCTAATGCCGGAATGAAAACTTCTCTAGGAAGTTATAAATTTTGAAAGATGCAAGATCACAGCTGCTCTGATACTAGCCTTTCAAACATTTGCCAAGGAGAGTATATCAGAAATAAAAAACTTAATTAGCTCTTGGGGGAGAAAAATTGCTCAACTTGAAGAGTAACTAGGACCTTTCCAAAAGGTCAGTGAGGCATTAGCAACTCTAAGATAAGCTTCACACCTTATTAAAATGGGAATCAATTTCTCTCTTGGCAGTCCAGCCTGGGGAACAAACTTAAAGCAACATCCCGTAACAGCCAGAGCAAAGGAAAAGACTAAGGGAAGCAGTGACACAATTATCAGATCAAATCTACTTTTCAAGAAAACGTACAGTTCCTTTTCACAAGTATTCATCAATAATGTAAGAATCCTAACTTGTACAAATGTAGTAGCCTTTTCTTCTATATTACTTTAAATGTTTATGTGTAAGAAACATAAGCATTCGTATTATTTGAAGGTTCTACATATAAATTACTGCTTTATGAAAAACTAGTGGGCAAATCTTAGATGCTGCCCAAACCTATTTAAAATTGACAATCACTAATTTCCTGAATATTTAAAAAAGTGTCTATTTTGAAACCACAAATAACCCACAGAATTAAATACTACAGCCCCAAATTAAGAGCAACCATGTCATATCACAGTGGGCAGTCTTTCATGGTTATGTTCTATTGATAAGAAAACCTCTTGCAGACGCATTAAGTGGGAAGATGACTGCTGACAAATAAGACTCCATGAGATGGGGAGAGGGGTGAAGAAAGGGAAGGAAAACTGGAGGAGTGGTAATACCAAAATGCAAGATGTCTTATTAGTTCTGTAATAAGGTGAGTTCATAATTAATTTACCAGAAATTACACAAAGTATACCTATACAGGAGACAGGGAAAACGTTTCTAAAAATCTTGACAACAGGCTGAATATAAAGAATTATTATCTGCTTATATTGCCTTTTGTTTGACGACGTTGTATCCCTAAGGGGCCTAGAGCTTCTGGTACATAGTTGATCCTTGATATATATTTATTGAATAAATGCATAAATTAATGGAACAAAATCTCATATGACTTCTAAGATACAAGACTCTAAGTGACAGTACATGAATTTACATGAATTTAATAAACATTAGGAGCAAAAAGGTAACCAACTTCATAAATAGCAAAGAAGAGTGGAAGAAAAGGCTAATGCAAATGATTTTAGACATAAACAGTGTTTCTTTTTCCCCTTTGCTTTGTACTAATACAGTAACACTACCTGTCTTCTGGTTCAAAGAAGTTCAAAGTTTCAAATTTGCCAATCTAATTCAAAATAACCATTTGCTAATGAACACTCAACTTCAATTTAGGGCATCTTTCAATTATTATCCACATGATTAATCTCTGTACAGCACTGCAACTTCTGATAGGAACTACAATAAAGCAAATTTTAATCCAAGGTAAAAAGTCATGTTCTGCTGTAAAACTGGAAGACAGTCATGATACTGTGACTCAGTTATCTATGTTGGAATAATAGACTGAGCTCTTAATAAGGCAATAAAAATAAAATAGAAGATAATAAGCACATTTTACTTCTCCATGTATTCACAGAAAGTTGGTACTGTGCCTTTGGGCATTCAAACACTTGCTCAATAAATGAAGAAATTTACATTAAAAAACGTTTTAAAAGGAAATATAAATTAAACAGTTCACAAAAATGACACAAAGTATTATCAATAAAGTGTTATGGCAATTTCTGGGGTGGGAAACAAAAATCATTTCAGTCATTAAAAAACAACATGGATTAGAACTCATTCTTTCTGATCCAGACACAAAGTTTATGTAAAAACATTGTTCGATGTTTTCAAATTTTAATACAATCTTCTTTTTTTAAACAAGTACAGTAAGTAATATATACTGTATTTGAAAAATTCATCTTTTGAACCATTAAGGAAAGTTCTAAATAAATTAGTTAAACCAATCAGTAAATTGCTCATTTTATCCCGTTTTTAAAATATTAACAGAAGACATGGAAAAATTTTAAACCACTACAAAATGCAATATCAAATACTTTCTAAATGTACTACTCTGAGAAAACCGAAGTAAACAGATCCCATGTATTTTGAAAATGCTATCAAAACAAACTCACCCAAACATATGTGATGTCAAAAGCACTAACTCTAAGGAATAAAGAATCCTTTTCAAAAGGTTCAGTAGGAAGACAAGACACAGACACAGTTATTCCAACGTAACTGAAAGGTTAAGATGTTTTATTAGCATTTTAGGGTCAATCTAAGTAGCTGAGGTAGGAAACAGGTAGAGGGCAGAGAACCCTAAGCAAATTGTTATTAGAGAAGACTTTATGATTTAGACCAGGCGTACTCAAACTAGGGCCTGCGGGCCACATGCGGGTGTTTTTGCCTGTTTGTTTTTTTACTTCAAAATAAGATACGTGCAGTGTGCATAGGAATTTGTTCATAGTTTTTTTTAAACTATAGTCCGGCCCTGCAACGGTCTGAAGGACAGTGAACTGGCCCCCTGTTTAAAAGTTTGAGGACCCCTGATTTAGACAGATGGCAATGAGACCAACTTGGCCCTTATGCTCATCCCCCTTCTCATCTTTTCTCAAATGTCACCTTTTTCAAGGACTTTCCTTGAACACCCTATTTGAGAATTGTATTCCCTTATTTCCAAGCCCCCTTGATTTTTCTCAACAGCCCCATCCTCTAGGTAAGGATTTGTCCATTTTGTTTGCTGTTGTACCCCAAGTAACAGGTGCTCAACACCTAATAAAGCAACGAAAGAGGAAAAGTCGGGCAGGCATTCCACTCAAACAACCATATGATGTTTTACATTTAGGGTAAAGATGGTAACCAAGAGGAGGATGGAAAGATCAAGTGAAATATTGGAGGGTGGGGAGGTGACTTGGCTGTCAAATTGAGGAATTTCTAATATTCATATGCACTGGGAGATGGAGAAGCTCACTTCATCCAATCCAATCGACCTTCAAAAAAAACCATTCTGGCAAATATTACAAATTAAACTTCATCCCTACAGTCACAAGAGTAAAACATTAATGCAGTTTTCTACTTTCTGCCACAGCAAAATACTATAGTTAACAGTTTACTACTTAGTTTGATATTTGAAATAAATCACTAATATTCTTTTTAACTTGAGCATGACCTGATGATGCATTATGTATACATTACAAGAACTGTCAATTCTCCAAAAGTACTTGAATATTCTACCATGTTTTTCCTGTTAAGCTAACAGGAATAAACTGGCTACCACAAAAAGACTCAGTGCTCTTTCTTTTGAAGGATAAAGAAATGAGGAACAAAAGGTCAAGTACAACGTAGCAGCCGTGCCAACCCTACATGAAGAAAATCAACTGAACAGGTTTTATATCCGCAATTTCCTGGCCAAACAAACCAAAGCAAATTAAGTGAATTCTACAGTAAAAGCACTTGCTAAATACTCACTTTTTCTATTTTGCAACCCATAAAATAAAAACGTAACACAACACAGTTCATTTCCTGAGCAAAAACTCCAAGTAGTTACCAAAAAGGAACTCCAATTTCAGCTCCAAAATATAGCTCTATAATACTCTAAAAAGCCAATGTCCTACCTTACAAGAAAATCAAACCATTTCAAAACCCATTTGAAAATGCCTTTAAATCATAAATTCCTAATTACGTCAAAGTTAAAAAAATTCACAGACATCATTAATTCAAAATGCTAATATAAAGTCACTCAAATTGGCCACTCAGAAAGAGACCCTATACAACTCAAATTGCCAACATTTTGTTTACTATAACATCAGTGGCATTATTTCCAACACTGCTTCAAATTGCAACACAGAATTCCGTAAAAAATTATTTTACCTCTGGTTTGTATACACTAGTAGTTACCGATCACCTTACTGCATTCCAACATTTAACTGCCAAAGTTGAGACTATTTTGAAATTAATTATGCAGACAGCTTAAATATCTTATATTACCTCCAACTATATCACTTATTTTCCCCCATAGCAATGTATTGAACCTATAGTTAATCAAACAGCTCTACTCATTTATTTTAATTGGTAAAACAGCAGCCATTTACTGGAGGCAAAATATTTTTAAATTAAAGACAGACACATCAGAGGTGTGGAGCAATTGATTCAGTATGCTGAATGGTTTGCTATCAATGTCTCAATTTTATTCAATGAAAACCACAGAAAAGATTCTTGGAGAATGAATTATTAATGGCTACATACCACTTGGCTAACACAGTATGATATATTAAAGCCTCATGGCAGAATTTATGTGAAAACTACTCCAAATGTTTACCTCTTGCTACCACTGCTTAAAAGATGGGTATGAATGAAATTAATCCTTTCCTCATCTGAACTAAATAAATGCCCACTGCTCTGCTTAATTCTCAAAATAGCCATCCATGGTATAGTTGTCATAAAAACTGAGGTAGATCCCTGGGACTTGCATATATAACAAACACACAAAATTAAAACTTAGAAGCTGTGTCAATTTTGTGAAACTTGACAGTAGTATTGCACTGGGTAAATGCCATTTCCCATAGTGGTTTCTATAAAAACAAAATACTGTAATTCAAGAACAAAAGGCAACTCATCCCGTTAGGATTGAGAACATCTGTGTCCTATTCATGACCATTTTTAGGAAAACTACCAAAAAGTTTATTGCCTGAGAAACAAATGCAACAAAATACTTAAGAGAAAAAAATGTTAATAACCTAGAAATATCCTGGCCACCCCATCACCTTTTTTCTGAGGTAGTTCTTTGCATTTCACTAGTTTCTTAGCAACCATACAGGACTCAAGCGGGTAAGCGCAAGAAAAACACTATGCTGTTTTTTTTTTTTTCTTTCAAGATCTAGAACCAAGTGTACTAAACCTTGTTCTCTCAACCCAGGAATCACCCAAGACAGGGGTCCAAATTAGATAAATATACCACCCTAAAGGTCAGTGACCAAATTTGGTCAACACTGGTGCCATCACGGCCGTCATCATTCTTGTCACAGTCAGGAACAACTGTCACCTTGCCATTACCAGGAAGGGAAAGCAACTGGAATATTCCTTTTGTAAGTTCTATTTACAGACTACAAAGAGCTCAACATCATCTTAGTATGATCTTACAACATGATAACAATGGAAGAACCCAAAACAGAAAAGGCCTCCAATAAAGAACTTTTTGATACTAAAATCACAAACCACAAAAATTTCTAAGACCCTTATACATTCCGGAACATTTCTACCTGCACCATAAATGTCAGGCATGTGTTTTCTGAACATGAATGGCTTGAAGTGTTTTATTTATAATTTTAAAATATCTAGGTTGTTTGTTTGATTTTCAACATGTAAACACAGCTTTTATCTCCAAAGACGTTTTCACCCAATGGACAGCATGACTTCTGATTTATCTGTGGTATATTTTCAGCTTTACTGGGGTAAAGGAAATAAATTTTTTGTACTTACAAAAGATATACATGCTGCCAGTAATAAAATTCTAACTAGTAAGTCTTCAAACTGCTCAATCACAAGTTCCAGCAAGGTTTTTCCTGTCAGAAACAAATATATTTGCTGTAATTGTCATCTTAACATCAGCACACAAATGGGGGAGGAAAGAAAATGTTAAGATTACTTACCTTCTTCAGCAGGTAACTCTGTAGAATGCAGAAATTTGCCAGGCAACGTGTCGAGAGAGGTAGAAAAAAAAAATTAGTATCGTGTTTTTCTAAAAAGAACTGTTAAAATTACCAGCAACAATGTCTTTGAAAAACAGACCTAGTTATATATGAATACTAAATTTTTTTTTTAAAGAAAGCATACAAAAACGATACCTCAAGAAAATATGCACTATTTCCTGTAATCAACAGCTTTAGGTTCCAGCCCGAATCGTAAAATCATTCAGGGCTAGTGAAACAAGGAGTCGTTTCAGCTAAGTCATCACTTCTGCCAGATGTGCAACTTTGGGTAGTACGAAAATGATCAGAGGCTTCCTCAACTACAACGACGCCTTATGAGTCGATTTATGAATCAACTGGGGACAAAATGTCTCGCCGGGCTCAGCCCGGCTGCAAGACTCGTCCTTCCTTCCACCCGGGCCGGCTGCTGCTAGAGAAGCCGCCGAGCTAGCTGCGCGCCGGGAAGGTCACGGGCTAGAGACGCGAAATCCAGGAAAGGGGAAGCGAGGCGCGGACCCCGGTGCCCCCCGCCTGCAACCTCTCTCCCGCGGAGCCAGCACGCGGGCCCGGCCTGCCACCCGCAGCCGTCGGCGGGCGCGGAGCCGAGACCCACGAGGTGGAGCCCGGTCAGCCATCTTCCCTGTCTCGCGCCCGCGCCCGGCCGCGCGGGGCCCCGGCAGCCCCGGCGCCGGCACCTACCGTTGGAGCCCCATTTCTCTTTCAGCTTCTTGACCTGCTCCAGGCTCAGCCCGGTGCTCTCGTTGACGCCGAAGTGGCCCAGCACCTCCTCCACCGTCTTTGTGTGCGCGTTCTCCATGGCTTCGGGGGGCCGGACCGGCCTCACCTCCCGTCCCCGCGGCCTCCTCGCCTCGGCCTCGCACTCGGGCCGCGGGCTCGTGCCACCCCGGGCGCCCAGACGCGGACTGGCTTCACCCCTCCTCCTCCTCCTCCGGCCGCTTCCGCCTCGCCGGGCGCTGAATCACCCCGCGCCCCCTCCCCCAGACAACCGCCCCTCTGGCAGCCCGGCCCTGGCTGCCGGGTGGCTGGGGGGGCTCCCGACCCTCCCTCCCCTCGTCAGAAGGGAGGGCCTCCTTCGCCCTCAACTGCCCGCCGAGAGCGCAGGCCGCGGCCCCGAGCCCCCTCCCCACTCTCCTGAGGTGAATCGCAGCCCCGCCCGGGCCGGAGGAGGGGGAGCACGGCCGACCCCTGAGGGCGGGACGGACCGAGAGAGGACAACCGGCGGGGCGGTGCGCGGCGCGCTCGCTCAGGTCCCTCAGCTCCGCACCCCCGACAGCGGCGGAGGAAACTGCGGCGGAGGAGAAGGAGGTGGCGTCGGGGACGGCTCCGCGGCGGCTGCTCTAATAGCATTTATCGGCCGCTGCCTCCCCTCTCGCCGCCGCCGCGGCATGTGGACGCCGCTCATTGGCCGAGAGCGCCCAGCGCGGCGCGGGCGGCGCGGCCCCGCCTCCTCCCCCCGGCGCCCTCCCTCCCGCGCCTCTCGCCCACGCCGCCGCGCAGGCCCCGCCTCCTCCTGCGCGCCGCCCCTAGGAACCCGGATCGAGGCCGCGCGCGCCGCGCCCGTGCAGTGCACCCTGCGGCGCCGGGGCCAGCCGAGGGGGAAGCTGGGTCCCTCCTCTGCTGGTGCGGTTCTCTGGCCCGTCCATCAGCGGACGTGGGGTGAAGGGCCCCCGTGGGCTCCCTGCTCTCTGCCCCCAGAGACTGACTGCCTTTTAGGGTCTGCCTGGGACCAGGATGGGTGGTTGGAAGGCGAGGCCGAGGAACCTGGGCACAGTCCGCGCGGGGCGTCCCCGAAGCGCGCTCATACTGGTGTCCTTGGCTTGCCTCCTTGCCCTCGGTCGCCTGGGCCGCGCTCTGCATCCTAATCTGTCTCCTTCAGAGCCCCCCTCAGGAACCGAGAGGAGGAATTCCGCAGTTCCCTTCCCACACAGCCAAAATCCCTCATCTGTCGCTTCAGGAACACCGCATCCTACACCCCCAAGCCCAGAGCTGCTTCGCACGCCAACACCAGCTCTTCCCCAGCAGGTTCTGCGCCCTGACTGAGGGAATCCTTCTCTGCAGGGAGGAGGGAGGAGGTTTTATTTCATTTTTAATAGCCCACACAGCTTTTGATACATGTCTGCATAGAAGTCACAGGTTATGCTACTGTAGGTGCTAAATAGCAGCTAGACTTGTGCTAGGAGGTGCCTTGCTGTGGCATTAAGATGAAGGCTGTTTTATGGACTCCCACCACCACCAATAGGAGAAAAAAGGACTTTAATTCAAAACCTACTCTCTTTTTTTTTTTTTTGTAGTACAAAACCTACTCTTAAACCACAGATAATTTGCTCTGCTTGAGAGGTTTGTGCAAAGCCTAGGTCACAGCAAGATAAAGAGAATTCTGCCAATATAAAGAAATTATACTACTTAACAAGGGGAAGGGACAGTGCATCGAATGCATGAACAAAACATGAACATATTCGCTTCACAAAGAAGGGCAGCTTAAGTACTAATAAATAGGTTGCAGAACGAAGCATTTAGTTCATTCTTGTGTTTAGCAGTAGTGCACCATCCACATAAGCAAAAGCAGAGCAAAACATCAGCTCAGTTCTTCCCAATGGCTCAGCCTCACAACTTAAGATAAACTCCTTCAACAAATGCAAATCATAGTGCATCACCCAGCTGAAAAAAAAATCAGTCATGCCATTTAATTATTTCCAAGGAGTGGAGATTGGCATGCAGTTTTGACTGATACTTGGAAAAGGATCAACAAAACCCTACACGAAACAAACAAAAAAAGTTCTAGTGGATGGCAACGCAGTAAGAGAAGCAAGGTGCAAACTGGTTAGGTCACAGGATCAGAGCCTCTTCAGGAGCCGCCGGTGACGGCATGGGGGTGTGGTCATGGAGGGCTGGCGGTTCTTTCACGTCTGAGACCAGCTTTGCACCATTTCTTACCTCTTCTTCTGCCTTACCTCACGGCTCTCTTTCAGCATGGATAGAAGCACTGCAGGCAGGGGAAGGATTGTTACCTTTCTCAGCCTGAAAATTGTCTTAGGCTTTTGGTTTTTGAATCTCTCTTCTGTGGCCCAATCTCTGCTTGGGGTTGTAAGCACCTCTGGTGCAATTCTGAGCTTCTGGAGGAGTTCCTGACCTCAGCCTTTGCAAGATTCCAGAATGCTCTTCTCACATATCTCCACAGGCGTTGTTCCATCTTTTCATTCAGATCTCATTTTACTGTCCCCTCCTCAGAGATGTCTTTGCTGGCTATCTAAAGTGGCTACCCTCCCCAGTTCCCCTTCTGTCACATTATTCAGTTTTATTTTCTTCACAGCACTTATCTCTGATAGTGCATTTTTGTTTAGCTGTTTACTGCCTTGCCTGTCTCCTAGTGTCTCTTGGAGCACTAGGCTATAAGTTCCATGAGAACAAAGGCTTGTCTACCTTGTCCATCCTCAGTACAAAGAAGGGTCCCTGGTATACACCCAAGTATTGAATGCCTGCTGTTTGAATGAATGAAAGAGTCCCACCATACCCAGCCCATCAGTAACTTGCAAGAGGCCTCACCCACAGGAGGGCCTCAGGAAATTTTTGCTGAACTCAAGTTCATTGATTTCCAATTTGTGAAATAGACTAGAAGGCCTCCGAACTACTTGCCTCATGAGAATGGCTGTGACAGGTTTACAACAAACAGACAAAACCAAAGCTAGACAGCATTATAGATTTCTCAGAGATGAGTAAGGTGTAAGTTCACACTGGTGCTGTTACCACATTGCCACTTCCCTCCTAGACTGTTCTTTGCAAGCTATTTACTGGAAGCTGGAATACTCCCTTAAACTGAAACTGTGTGATTTTTAGCCCAGAATTGGTCCCTTGTACATTATCATAAGAATCATGCCTTTGGTTCCTCAACCATTTGGCGTCTCTGAAACCTGTTGTTTATAGGTTGCCAAAATGCATCATAACCCACTCTTCCAAAGGCAGAAATATCTAGGTTCTCATATGTAGAAAAAAACTTGTGCTCACCTTATTTTATACATTATGTTTTACTTGCTTCTTAACAAGGTTCTTAAAAGAATAGTATTTTTCAGCAAGGATTGCAGTCATATTCAATCAGTTGAGGATAAAGAGAGAAAAAGAAGAGAAACCATGATTCAGAAGGATGAATGATTTGATCAAAGAACTTCAAAGGCATTAATAAAGGGGGCTATTAGCTGCCAAAAGGCAGGTAGTTCAAAAAGCTAGTCAGACAGAAAAGGCCAGTGGAAAAGAATGACTTGCAGAAGGCCCAGCCAACGTCCCAACCCTCTGCAGCCCTCCTGTAAAGCGAAGGAGATGGCAAAAGGCAGTCTGTTCCATATCTGGGCAGCTCTAATCATTCATGCCATCTCATCCTGGGCTGAATCCATGTCCCATTGGCTAACTTCTCCTATACATTGCTTCTTGTTAGTCCTCTGGAACCACTCTGGACAAGGTTAATCCGTCATCTGTGTGAGATCCCTTTGAGTGTTTCAAGATATCTATTGTGCTAAAAGTCTCTTTTCTCAGTTAAAAAAGAACAGCTCAGTCCCTGAGCTGTTCTCCCCATGGCATGAGTCTGCAATCTCTCAGTACCTTTGTTGTTCAATTCTAGAGGTGCCCGATACTAAGCACCAAAGTCTGAGCATGGTCTTGCAGTGAAATTTTTCACTGTCCACCTTTGTTCTGGATCCTTTCCCCTGCATGTTGCTGCTTTATGTTAACAATCAACTTAAAACTGAGTCCTTTAAATATAAACTGCAGTCATGTTAAATCTTCTCATCATGTACTTGCACTGTTGATTTTTTTTTTTAACCCAGGGACCAAACTCTGCCTATAATTGAATGTTCTTGTACTCATTTTTGAGAGTCTATTCTGGTCTTTTGGAGTCTTCATCTTCAAGCATTTTAGCCATGCATCCCAGCTTTGGGTTACATACAAATTTGATAAATGTGACTTCTATATCTCTATCCAATAGAACTTCTAGACATTCATTTCAGATTGAAAATAACCAATAAACTGTATTTAATTGTTCAACTGTTATAAATCAACTCGACTACAAGTCCCAAAGTCAGTAAAGTGAAAATCTTATAAGGTACTTCCTGCCTCCTTATTTCCCATAATACTTTATTATATAGTGTTGGAATAGATCATTCTTCCTTTGGTTGAGCAACTGATGTAGTCAATTTGACTTAAGGGTCATGCTATAGGAAAAATACCTGTTTATGTACTACAATCAGAAATGGCACAGTAAGATGTGTACACTGAGATAGTGGTGAGAACTAAGGCTGTCCAACCAAGTCACATCTGTCATCTCTGGGACACATATTTGTTGAGTAGAATGATGGGCAGGATTGTCTGTACTATTTAAATTCTTTGTCATTTAAAGTCACCTAAGGTCATTCTGCAGACATTAGTCTACTGCACTATTATGTAGCCCACATTTCTCTACTTTGTCCTTAAGAACTTACTGAGAGGACTACAGTTCTAATACATTGTCTACAACAGTCTCCAAATCCACATTCTAGTGATCTTTTCATGGAAATGTGTTCACTTGGGCATGGCTTGTGTTACTGAACACACACTAGCCCCTAGTGACCACCAATTTTCTACATGCCCACAAACCATAACTTATGAGACTTTGCCAAAATTAACAGAACATCTTTTCTAGAATCTGCTTTCCCCCTTGTGCATTAAATAAACATTCTTTTGATAGTTGAGTATTAAAAACCCAATTTCCTTTTTTATTTTATTTTATTTTTTTTGAGATAGGGTCTTGTTCTGTTGCCCAGGCTAGAGTGCAGTGGCATCATCATGGCTCACTGCAGCCTTGAACTCCTGGGCTCAAGCGATCCTTCTGCCAAGTAGCTGGAACTACAGGTGTGCGCCACCACACCTAGCTAATTTTTCTATTTTTTGTAGAGACAGGGTCTCGATACATTGCTCAGGCTAGTCTTAAACTCCTGGGCTCATCAACTTACTATCTAATGCTTATAAAAAGAGACTTATTAGAAGTATACTCCAAATTCAGAATAGCTAGATGCAGGCGCTCAAAGTCACTGGGCATCTCTTGGCACTGTCTCTTTCCTTTGCTTTTTATTCTCAGGCAAGCTCTGTCCAGGCAGCAGACACGGCTCCCAGCATGTCCAGTTTACAATTCACTAGTTTAGCACTTTCGATGGAGAGAAAGACCTTAGATTTTCTCCGGGTCGTGTGCCCCTCTCTGGAAGCAGAGACTGTGGTCAGTCCCATCTAAATTGCATGCATCCAGAGTGGGGAAGTTGCTCCCTACAGTAATGTTTTTGATTGACATGTCCCAGCATCACCCAGAGGGCTTCTGAAAACACCTATTGATGGGCAAGAATTCTCATTCAGTAGGTCTGGGGTGGGCCTACTGGATTTGTATTTGCATTTCTTTTTTTTTTTTGAGACAGTGACTGGCTTTGTTGCCCAGGCTGGAGTGAGTGCTGTG